GGTCTCACTCTGTTGCCCAGGCTGGAGTGCAGTGGCACAATCATGGCTCACCGCAGCCTCTACCTCCTGAGATCAAATGATTCTCCTCTTCAGCCTCCTGAGTAGCTGGGACTACAGGCACGTGCCACCACACTTGGCTAATTTTTTGATGCTTTGTAGAGACGAGGACTTGCTATGTTGCCCAGGCTGGTCTCAAACTCCTGGGCTCAAGCTGTCCTCCCACCTCAGTCTCCCAAAATGCTGGGAATACGGGTGTGATCCACTGCACCCAGCTAGTGTCATTTTGAACCCCAAATGGGGATGTTCTGAGCAGATGCCGGCCACATGCAGAATATTGGAAATTGGGTTGCCCTGGAAGGACAGCAATCTAGAATGACCGGCACTCGGGTTTTAAAGTGTCCTCTTTGAGCCCTTGTTAAGGGTTCCCCGCCACTCTGCTGGGCTCTCCTTGGGGCCAGGGAAGGCTGAGTGGTCAGAAGTCACGGTGGGGAGGGCCTCCTGAGGTCCGTGTTGATGTCAGCCTGCTCTGAGGGACTCCTTTGGTGGCCTCATGGCTGAGCCTTGATTGGCTGATGGAACAATGCCCAAGGCTGGGGAGGCGGGGAAGCGTTGTTCCAGGTAGAGGGAACAGCATGAGCAAAGTCTCCACGACAGGGAACGCAGGACCAGTTAGTCCAACTGCCAACAGCCTGGTGTGGCTGGGACATCAAGCAGAGGAGCATGACCAGAGGACAGGGGGCAGGTGGGAGGCCAGGGCAGAGGGAGGGTCACAGGCACCAGGTGGAGGGGCTCCAGGGGCGCTGGGGAGTCCTGAGAGGGCCGGGAGCAGCAGAGGGGCAGGTCAGCTCTGGACAGAGAGACCTCTGGGGCCGTGTGGGTACGGACAGGAGGGAGAGACGAGGCAGGGAGGTCGAGGAGGAGGCTGGAAATGGGGTCCGGGAGAGCAAGGATGACGCTGGGGCCTGAGCTGTGGGGCAGAGAGGTGGACATGGGGCAGGGAGAGAGGCAGGGGAGGGAGGGACAGAGCTCGGTGCCGGTGGTGGAGGGGGAGACATTGCTGGGGCGCCCACAGCCCTGGTCCTCTGCCAGCATCCACATTGGCTGCAGCTCTGCGTCCACCCGTCTCCCCACGGGGGCCCCTGGCGGCCTCGGGACGTGGGCTGAGCCCTCGCCCCCTCACTCGCCTCCCTCTTCTCTCTCCTGTGCCTCCCTTGGAAAGACCTGCCTGGAGCCCTCCTGCCCAGGTTGGGCCAGGGGCTCCCCGCCCACCTCCTGCTCGCTTCAGTCCTCCCCCACAGGACAGTCCTGCCCCTCCGGACCTCAGCCGCCGGGCTCAGCACGGGGCTCGCAGAAGGCCGCAGAGAGCCGCGTCCTCACCTCGGACGTCCAGCTTGCACTCGGCCAGAGCCTCGCCCAGCTCGTTGACGGCCCGGCAGGTGTAGGTGCCGGCGTCGAAGGGCGAGAGCCGACGGATGTTGAGCGTCAGGACGCCCTGGTAGTTGGTCATCAGGAACTTGGGGTCTTCGCGAATCTCCATCTTGTTTTTCATCCAGGACACCTTTGGCTGTGGGGAAGCAGGAGGGACTTCAGCTGGAAAAGTGTTCCCCAAACCACGGGAACACAGGGCTCGGGAGGCAGATTTGGACTCTAGGCCGTGCGGCCTCCTTGCTGGATATCCTTGGGCTAGTTGGTTCTACTCTTTGACCCTCAGTCTCTTCTGTAAAAGCAAATTGATAATCCCTACTTCACAGGGTAGGAATGAAGGCTTCCCATCGCTCTGGGGATAAAGAGCTGATGTGGGGCCAGGTACGGCGGCTCACGTCTATAATCCCAGCACTTTGGGAAGCCGAGGCAAGAGGATTGCCTGAGTCCAGGGGTTCAAGACCAGCCTGGGCAACACAGTGTTTGCCTCGTCTCTACAAAAAGAAAAAGAAAAAAAAAAATATATATATATATATAATTAGCTGGGTGTGGTGGCTCATGCCTGTAATCTCAGCACTTTGAGAGGCTGAGGCAAGAGAATTGCCTGAGCCCAAGAGGTGAGATTGCCGAGGTAAGAGAATTGCCTGAGACCAGCCTGGGCAACATAGACCTCATCTCTACAAAAATAAAAATATAAAATTAGGCTGGGCTTGGTGGCTTAGCCTATAATCCTAGCACTTTGGGAGACCAAGGTGAGTGGATTGCCTGAGCCTGTGGGTTGGAGACCCACCCGGGCAACTTGACGAGTCCTCATCTCTACAATAAAACAAAAATTATCCAGGCGTGGTAGCGTGCACCTGTGGTTCTGGCTACTCGGAAGGCTGAGGCAGGATTGCCTGAGCCCAGGAGGTCGAGGCTGCGGTGGCCGGGAATGTGCCACTGCACTCCAGTATGGGCGACAGAATGAGACTCCAACTAAAAAAAAAAAAATTAGCCAGGCAGGGTGGTGTGTGCCTGTAGTCCCAGCTACTCGGGTGGAGCCTGAGGTGGGAGGATCACTTAAGCCCAGAAAATTGAAGCTGCAGTGAGCCATCCAGCCTGGGGAACAGAGTGAGACTGTCTCCAAAAAAAAAAAAAAAAAAAAAAC